GGCTTCACTCACCTCCCACATCCTATCATCACCAAACCGTTTTTCCATTTTGCTTTTGGAACATCTCTTCACTAGCCTCTCCATCCCTGCTGCCTCCATCTGGCCCAGACTATCAGTCTCCTAACTATGCCTTCAGATGCCTCACTGCTTCCTGCTTCCTCTCTCCACACAACTGCTAGAATGACCTTTCCAAAGACCAGATGTGCTCACAAAATTCCCCTGCTTCAAGCCCACAGATGGGTCTCCAGTGCCCTGGGGGTGAATTCCAAACCCCACAGCCACTCCACAAGGCCCTATGACAAGCCCCTGCCCAACTCTTCAGCCTCATTTTTTAAGACTTTATTTTTAAGTAATCTCCACACCCAATGTGGGGCTTGAACTCACAACCCCGAGATCAAAAGTTGCACGCTCCACTGACTGAGCCAACAGGTGCCCCTCTTCAGCCTCATTTCTAATGGCTCCCTCTGGCCCCTGTGGATTTAACTTGCTTGCCTCCTCAACCAGTCCAGCCTCGGCTCTCCTTGCCTATATTGTCCTGTGCTCAGGCTTCCATTTTATTCCTTAATTGGGATCCCAGTGTAAAAGTGCATTCTAAAACACTGTGCTTTGTAGGGTACATGGGGGGTATTTTGAGTGTCCAGGCTTTTTCTGCATTAAACACGGTAATATATATATATATATATATGGATATAAAATAAGTAATTGCAATGGGGTGTGATTAGTACTAGACTAGGGGAAGTGCAGGCTCCCATGACAGGAGCATAGTGGAAGAGCAAGCTCCTGAAGAAATCTGTGATGTCTAGGTTGAAGCCTATTCAGGTGAACAGGTATTAACAAGGCAAGATGAGGTGGGAAGAGTGTACTACGAGGGGCAAGCAAGCCCCGCAAGAAGGCTCCAGTGCAGAGCAAGAAGTTAGGTGGCATAACTGAGGCTGGCTTTGTGTCCAGGTTGAGGGGCCTGGACTCTTCCCTAGGAGAAAAGAAAGCCTGTGTGGTGGGTTTTAGAAATCACTCTGATGAACCATGGAGAATGGATGGAAGAAGGATAAGACCAGAGGCAGGAAGCCTGTGAGGGGACAGTTTTAGTCTCTCAGCGAGAGGTCAACATGTCCCGTATCTGAGTGGTGCCCATGGGGATAATAAAGAGTGGACAGAATTTAGAAATATTTAGGGCGATAATTGAGGGGATTCTGGTGGCTGGGTAGTTGGTAACCTCAAGAGACCTGGAGGAGAAATAGGTTTTGAGATACTGAGTTTGATTTTGAGCATGCTGAGTTTGAAACACCTTGGCTATTCAAAAGGAGGTGTCCAGTCAGCAGTTGGACATGGGAGTGAGGAGAGAGCCATGTGAATCATTGGCATACATATAGATGGAGCCAGAGAAACAGATGAATGTTTCAAGAGAGAACAGGAAAGGGCCTGGAATGGAATCCTGTGGAGTGATGTTTGTAAGAGGATGCTTGAGGAGGAGGTGGCAGAGAAGGCTGTAAGGAGATTCAGAGGATATAGCTAGAAACGTACATGTTAGCCATAGCAATTCAGCTACTTATTCAGTGGCTCTAAGTCAGCATTTTAAAAAAAATATTCTATTTATTTATTTGAGAGAGAAAGAGAGGGAAAGGGAACATGACCAGGGGGAAGGAGAGAGGGAGAAGCAGACTCCTCACTGAGCAGGGAGCCCAAGGCTTGATCCCAGGCCCCTGGGATCATGACCTGAGCTGAAAGCAGACGCTTAACTGGCTGAGCCACCCAGGCACCCCTAAGTCAGCATTCACTGGGAGTCCATATGGCCTGAGTGTATTCAGAGACAAGCGAGACTTTACTGTTGACCTCAAACTCAAATGTGGCCACCACCACGTTGCAACCTTCTGAAAAAAGAGGCCCCTCTCTTGCAGGCCAATGACCGTCTTATTTTCTAAATGATAGACTGTTTTTCCATAGCTGGAGTCCTTACCAAGCTCACTCTTCCGTATTACCCAGGCCCAGAAGATCTGGGTCCAGCAGCTGAGCCACGATGGGCAGATGGCCTGAATAGGACACTCCAGGGCTGTCTGGGGGTGGGGGCAGGAGTAGGGGGAGGGAGCATGTCATATGCCTAGGGTTCAGCAAATTGTACCCACGCACCATGCACAGAAACACACAAGGAAGGCACCCCCACTCTGTGGGTGAGACAAAGAAGCAGTCCTTTTCCCATGTGCCAACCCATCTGCTTCTTTGCCTTCCCAAACTTGCCTTTTTTTCCTTTCTTCTTCTTCTTTTTTTTTTTTTTTTTGGTTCTCTACAGCTTTGAAAACACGAGGAAGAAGAGTGGGAGACAGGAGAAAAGGTAAGATTGGAAGAGGAAAGGGGAGGAGAAACGGGAGGCCCCCGTGACCACCAATACAATAAACTGCATCCTGGACTACCACAGCCTGGTCCCTTTTTTGCAATGCAGACCTATGTTACGGTCCGGGGAGAGCCACAACGATGATGGCTAAGGTGTGGCTGTGGTCTTGATGGCCTTGATTGACAGGGTGCTCCTCCGTGTGTCACACTTCTTCTTCCTCACAGAGCCTGGCAGAGGCTCCACAGGACAGCTGGGCATAGGCTTTCCCTGCCCTGGTGCCTTTGACTCCTGATGGTGTCACCAGCCCCCCACTCCCATCACCTGGGGCAGCAGGAACGAGTGCCTCCCTGAAACTTGAGGTGGTGGCAGATAAGGCCGCAAGGAGATTCAGAGGATATAGCTAGAAACGTACATGCTAGCCGTAGCAATTCAGCTACTTATTCAGTGGCTGCAGCGTAAGAGGTAGGGGGAGTGCCCTGTGGGAAGCACTTGTGAGGCTGTGTGTGTGTTGGGAGAGGGGAGGGTACAAGAGGGAGGATGGGTTCTCCCTGCCCTCCACTACCTCACAGACATGGGCCGAGGTGTAGGAGGCCATTCAGCCTGACCTCAAGGCATTGAGGGAGGGGGTCTGAGTGGCTTGTTCTGGGCTTGATCCACATAACCCTGAGCTAAGTAGGCTTGATGAGGCAAAGGCCGGACACTCTTCTTGCCTTGGCATTGACAGTCCTTCACCGGTACCTGGCTTTGCTCATGGTGTCTTCTTTCTGGCTCCTGACCCTCACACCCACCCTCAGCTAGAGCTGAATACTAGGCTCTGGTCTTAGGACTCTCCTTGTAGAGGACAGAGAGGGGCCCTATCCTTTCTCAGCACTGGAAAGCAGGCCATTCAGATTTTTGGTGACAGCCCCATTTGACCTCTGGCTGGGATATTTTTCCATCCTCTACATCTTGCCCAGGCCCTGTCCTCTCCTGTGGATTGAGCCGTGAGCTCGTGATGGCCCTGTCACCCCTGTCTGCACTTTCCCAGGACCTGGTCAGCCAGTGTTCACTTCCTCTTTCCCCACCACACAGGCTATGCACGCTTCAAATCCAAGTCGACAGTCCTGCCCTACCAGTGGGCCTCTTGTGGGGCCTCAGGCCTGAGGGGCTCCTTGGGGTGGTTCTGGGACTGCAACCTTCCTGCAGGGGCCCTTGGGGCAGGCCAAGCTGTAGCCAACTTTGGGTGCTGGTTTGGTCTCCATGACTTGTTTGCTTTCTCCATCCCCTGCCACTCTAGCCGACCACCCAAAAAGCCGAGCACATCGTCCCCCATCCCCTCCATGCCACCCTTCGTAGTTACAGAGGGAACACAGCACTGTGCCACTGTGCTGAGGGTGTCTACCTGCCCCCACCCCCACCTCAGCCCCGACTCTTCTGGAATGAGCCACCTGCTTCCACACACAGGTGTTTCCTGTGCTCCTTCCTGTTGGCCGTTTTTCTGCTCAGCTTGGCTTCCCCAGCAGGTGGTTAAAGGCCCAGCCAAACCTCCTCATACACAGCGCTAAAACACTGGGGAGCAGGGCCCCCTGGGGATCTGGGTCACCCCCCCCCCAGCCTCCCCGGTTTGGGGGGCTGTTGGCACCTCATCGTCTCCTCCTGAGTGCAGGCGCACACGCTGTCCCCAGTATGTCCCACTTGTGTGCTGACACCACGTGCACTGGGACACCAGAGTGGGCTCTGGGAGTAGGGAGGGCCGGTTCTCCTTGCCCCTGGATAATAATGAAAGCTCGGAGGGAGAGGGGAAGGGTAGAGAGCCTGTTTGTCCAGCCTTGGGTGTGGGCCCCCTCCAGCCCTCTTTGGAACAGGCCTGCCGCCCTGAAATCCCATCCCCGCCGCCCCCCTGCCCCCCATTGAATTCTTAACCTTCTGGGGTTAACACACTCACGTGCCAGGCAGCTCTGGGAAGAGGGGAGCCCTCTCCCTGGAGCCCTGCTTCCTGAAGCAGCAGTCTGCCCGCTGTCGGGGTGGGGAGCTCAGGGTTCAGTCAGGTTTGTTATTACAGAGAGAAGAGGCAGCTCGGGGAGAGAAAAAACTTGCTGTTTAGGGTCACGGGGGCAGCTACTCGCGTTGCCTGCTTCCCAGGCCCCAGCTCTCCCCCTCTGCAAGGATCTCCCCTTTCTTCCTATCCAGCCCTCCAGGAGCTCCTTGCTCTCAGCTCAGCCACCTTGGTAGGAAGCTGCTGTTGCTGAGGGAAGGCCCAGAAGCCTGGCGTTCCCTGATGGGGTTCTGCTGCCCCCTTCTGGCCAGAAGCTCCAGTCTTCCCCACGCTCGTTGCGGCCGGCCTCGTCTGCCTCCAGGCCACCTGCAGCTAGCTGCTAGGGAGCCATTCCCAGGACCGGCACCTCTGGGCTTTCTCTGGGCCAGCTCCACAGTTTGGCTGCAGCCTGGGCACATAGCTTCCAGGCCCAGGGCACCCCCGGTCTCCAGACAGGGCCTCGTCAGCAACACCCAACCACCTTCTTCCTCTGCTCTCTTTCCCAACCCCGGTTCCAGCCTCTGGGCTCCCTTCTGCCTGAATTTCCAGGGCCAAAGCACATCCGTTGTCACAGCTGGGGGTGCAGATACACTAATGTCAGGAAGCGCCAGAGCCAGAGGGTGCTGGAGCAGAGGGTCAGGAGCGCACCAGGCCAGCCCATGTAGGAAAGGCATTTTGCTTTTTTATTTTCTGTAAAACTCTGTAAATAAAATATAAAACCAAGGGATGTGGTGGGACACTGATTTGTGGCAAGTGTGCTGAGCCGAGGCTGGGAGGCACTTGACTGCAGGCACTGACTGCCAACCCAAGGGCAACGGAAGAATATATTAGATTTTCACTGATGGGAATCTGTGGGGGAGAGGGGTCTGGAGCCAGCCCTCACCCTCCCTGCCAGTGCCTGATAAGCCCTGAAAGTGAGGGGAAGGGGCACTGGGAGCCAGCGGGGAGGGAGGGAATTTAGAATGCCGTGCTGGCCATGCTGCCAGGCCCAAAGATGCGGGGCAGGGCGTCCAGTGATTCCTCCAGCCGTCGGTGGGCAGACTGCCCCTCTTCCCCTGTAATAGGTAAGGATGGGGTCAGGAGTGATCCTAGCCCCATCTCGGCCCTCCCATCCCTGACTCCATCTCACTCCAGCTCCCATCAGCCAAAATGTTCCCACACTCGACTTGACCCCTATCTCCCATCTCCTAGCCTCACCACACTGTTGCAGGCTCTGCCGAGCAGCTTCCCTCACGGCTTCCGTGTCCGTTTGGCACAGGTACACCAGGGGCTCAATGCCCTCAGGAGCCTACCAGGGAGAGAACATTGAGGTGGGCCCAGTGGAGCAGCTGGGAAAGGCCCAGGGCCCAGGGCTGAGGGAGCTTCGGGGGGTGTGAAGCGGGGGATGGGTTGGCAGGGCTTACCTTGATGCAGCCCAGGGCCAGGCAGCCAGCCACTCTCGTCTGTACATCCTCATCCTCGAGCTGGTCCAGGAAGCACAGCAGGGCCTGGGTAAGGGTGGGAGCGCAGACTTAGCCAGACACTGGGAGCCTGGGGCCCCAGCCTTTGCCTCAAGGAAGGCCTGTCTGCCTCTCACCCGTTCCCGAAAGACAGGGCCCAGTGACAGGCTCCGCAGCTGGGTGCTGACAGCAGCCATGACCTTGTTGTTGCCATGGACCAGCAGGGAGCTGAGGGCCCGAAGCCCATCCTTTCGCAGCCGCCCCTCGGGCGCCAACCTCAGGGCCTTCAGCACAACAGCTTGGTCATCTGAGTTCAAATTCCGCACCAGTAACACTGAAAGAAAGGGAGGGGTGGGACAAGGTGGAGCCTCATGGGGTGGGGTCCTTTGCACACTCATGCTCTCATCCACACTTCAGACCCACCCACAGGGTCAGGCCGCTTTGTGATCAGGGCCTCTGCCTCACCCTCCTCAGCGGTTTCAGTCACATAGGCCTCCATGGAGGGGCTATCCAAGGCTTCGACGTAACTCCAGAACTGGAAGACTGTGAACTGCTCTCCAGGGCCTGGCTGGGGCCTCCTGGGCAGCTTCTGCCCCAGGGCATCTTCCAGGAACTTGGCACACACTGTGGGAGGCAGTGCCGCAGGCCTCAGGGTTTGGATGGACCCAGGCCCTTACAGGGAAGAATGCTCCCATCCCAGGTTCAGGTCCAGGGGCCCCCTGTCCAAACCCTACCCTTCTGGGTCCTTCTGTGCAAAGGAAATAGCCTTCACTAGTTCTTCCTAGTGCTCAGCTCAGCAGGTCTGTATGGGCTGACCTGGCTTTTCCTGAGGTCCCGTCACTGGGGATCCGAGAAAGGAGGAAGAGGGGGCAGGTAGGCAGCCCACTTACCAGCCTCAGCTAGCCCCGGCTGGCGCAGGGAGAGACGGGCACTGTACTGATTGCAGAAGGTGAGGAGCACTCGCTCCACAGGGCAGATGAAGGGGCTGAGTCCCTCTGTGCACTGGTCCCAGAAGGTTAGGAAGCCGGGCCGGGAGGCTGAGAACTGCACCACTATGAGGTGTAGATAAGCATCAGCAACGAACAGGCAGATGGGCATGTAGATGGGGCTAGGTAAGGGAGGAGCTTCGGGGCAGACAGGGCCTTTACCTTCCTGCGCAGAGGTGGCAGGGATTTCCCATCGCCTGCTAAGCTCGCATACGGCCTCCAGCACTCTGGCCTCCCTCAGCAGCCGCTCCAGGGCCCATGCCTCCTGGCAGCGCAGGGGCCCAAATGTGCCCAGTTTCTGGAGAATAGGGGTGGCCAAGCAACTAAGACCTCAGGATAAAGACTGGGGAGGGTGGAGCCCAGGGACTATAAGTCTCAACATGCATGGAGAGGGGGTGGGTAGCCAGAGTCCGGGAGGTGTTCCACTCAGCAAGAGCCAAATGCTAGGGCCCTGGGGGCAGTGGGGAGTGGAAGTCGGAGGAGGTATGGAGGGCCGGGATGGAAGTGCAGGGCTCCCTGGGATAAGGGGCTATAGAAGGAGGGTGTGGGGAATACCACTAGCCTCACCAGCAGGAGGCAGCTGCAGTGATATAGGTGCTGGACCAAGGCAGCGTCCAGGGCTGGACACTCCGTGCTGAGGGGGCGGGCACTGGGCAAGTCGAGGCTGTCCTCAGCCCCAGGCTCCAGGCTGTTTGGGGGCCTGAGAGAAAAATGGGGTCAATCACCCCAGGAGCACGCATTACCATGTGGTCACCAGTGTACTTTTATTAAAGTCACCCCATCCCAGAATGGAAGAACAGACGATGCACAGACAACAGACAATGGTTAAGTTCATGGAGGACTTCCGGAAGGAGGAAGGGACTAGGACCAGCAGGTAGTAGTGGGGATCTCCAGGGTCCGTCTGCCTTTTACCTCCTCCAGCTACAACTGCTGGGACTTCTGGGGCTGGGACGGGTGGGAGTAGGGTTGCAGGCGGGATGGTCTACGCAATTGGGACTGCAAGGAGTTATGGCCCAAAGAGTGCAGGGCACAGGGCCCTAACCTGGGCAGCAGCAGAGGGAGGAGGGGCTGGGCACAACCCTCAACCAGGATTTGGCAAAGGCCCCTCTGGGACAGGGAGCCGCGGGCCTGGGTTCTCTGGGAAAGCCTAGGTTGAGACAGAGGGGGTTGATGCTGGGGGACCCAGGATGCATGGGGAGGCAGTGAAAGGGCTTGTCCATAGGGTAGATCCAAGGTGAGACCAGGGGAAAGAGGAGCTGGAGCAACATGAGCTGATGGGGACCAGCAGGAGAGGCAGGCATTGCAGGGACCAGAAGGAGGGAGGTCAGAAGTACTGGGGACACAGATAGGGTTAGAAACAGGCATCAAGGACACACAAGGACTACACAGGGTGGGGGTGAATACAGATGCACCTGCTGGCAGGTGCATCCCCTTCTGCCCACCTCCAGTCTTGCTGCTCTCCTTGTTGCTCTACCCGGCCCCACCTCTCCCGTTCCCCGCTCCTGGCCTTTCTCCTTCCCCTGGCACTCAGCTTACCTCTGCCCCCTCACTTGGCCCCCCTCACCTGTCTCCAGGACCATCCGTGTCTTCATCTTCATCCTCGTTGAGGAAGCTGAAGCTCTCCAGGGCATGTTCCACAGTGATACTGAGGCTGGAGGCCCGGCTGCGAGTCAGGCCTTGTCTCTGCTGGGGTCATGAAGGGAGTCAGTGCCACCACCCACTGCCGGACTGCCCTCCCTGTGCTGCTGCAGCCCACCCACCCGCCTCACCATGAGCAGACTCTCCAGCCGGGTCACCTCCTGCTCCAGGCCCTGCAGCTCAGGGAACTGGCCACGATAGTCATCCAGAGCAGCCATTAGGGCCCCCAGGGCCTCTTCCAGCCTCCTATCCCCAGCCCCTCCAGCTGCCCCTGGAACTGAGGCCGGGGTGGCCACGGCCGGGCTAAGGTCTAAATGCTGGGGCACAGGGGCTAGAGGTGAGGGAGGGGGACTTGGGCTCCGAAGGATGGGCTCTCGGGGGTCTGGGGAAGGACTTGTGAGGGGTTCCCAACTGGATGAGGCGGGACATGGGTAGGAGGTACTGGGGGCTGTGGGGTCTGCCTGAGTGCAGGGAGTGGAGGCTGGGTAGCTGCAGGACAGGGTGTGGGTACCTGGGAGGGTGGGGTCTGTGTTTGTAGAGGGGCTGGGAAGTTCGGCATGGTCTAGACAAGTGGAAGAGCTTACACTTAGAAGGGTGGGGCTTGCGACAGGATGGGTGGGGCTCCTGGTGGTCTGGACTGGGCCCTTAGCTTTGGGGGTAGGGCTTGTAGCAGTTTGAGTTGACATCCTGGCTTTGTGAGTAGGGCTTGTAGTGGTATGGGGGGGGCATGCAATAGTACTGGGGGGGCTTGTGGTAGTGTGGGTGGGGCTTGCAGTGGCATGGGTGGGGCTTGTAGTGGCATGAGTGAGGCTTGCTGTTGTGTGGGTGGGGCTTGCAGTGGCATGAGTGGAGCTTGCCGTAGTGTGGGTGGGGCTTGCTGTAGTGTGGGTGGGGCTTGCGGTGGAATGGGTGGAACTTGCAGTAGTGTGGGTGGGGCTTGTAGTGGCATGGGTCAGGCTTGCGGCAGTGTGGACAGGGCTTGTGGTAGTCTGGACGGGGCCTGTAGTATTGGGGGTAGGACCTACAGTAGTGAGGGCGGAAAGCATTGCTTCACCAGTGGGTCTTGGGGTGGTCTGGACTGGGGTTGTGGTACTCGGGGTGGAGCCTGTAGCTGAGGGGGTAGAGACTGTGGGCTTGTGGGTGGAACCTGTGGTAGGCTGCGCGGCGCTTGGACCACTGTGGCTAGGGCTAATGGCATTATAGGTTGAGCCTGTAGTGGTGTGGGCGGGGCCTGGCAGTTCAGAAGAGCTAGAGTCTGTGACCTTGTGAACCAAGTCTAGATGTGCAGACAGGGCAGGATCTGTAGATGTGTGGGCAGGGCCGGTTGTACTGAGGGTGGGGCCTATGGCAGAATGGCAAGGGTCCACGGCAGGAGGGACAGGACCAGGTTGCTCCCCATGGGTGGGATCTGGGTGGGCAGGCAGGCTAGGTCCCTGAGCTAGATTTTCTAGACCCAAAGCCTCCACTGAAGCCTCAGCCAAGGCAGCATCCACACTGGCCTCACTGATGTGGCTCAGAGTCCGGCTGTAGGGTGCATGCCCATTGGCCAGGGCTGGGGCCATGGCGCCCTCTTCATCCATGGGCCTAGAGGTGGGGGTCTCAGGCCTACGGAAGGCGACTTGAATGGGCAGAGGTTCAGGCTGCTGCACCAGAGGCCTGGAGGCTGAAGAGTGGCGGGCAGTGCCTGAAAGCTGGGGGCTGGATGAGTCGTCTGAAGATTCAGATGATAGGGACCATGCTGTCCCATTCTCTAGCTCCTCCTGCCGCCTCAGCATATTCTGGGAGAGAGGAAAGGGCATTTCAGGACCACCCCAGGGAGCTCCTGGGGGATGGTGGGGCCTAAGCCTGGCCTGTGACTCACGTAAAAGGCCTGTTCCCGAAGTGAGGGTGTGTCTGGTGGGCTCTGGCTATAGGTGGAGAAGCGCTTGGTGACTGTGGAGGCCTTATTGACAGTGGAAGCGGTTGAGGGCTGGTCATCCTTGTCGAAGGGGCTGGGGAAGGAAGAGGCTGTTAGGAGGTGCCACAGGCCCCCTGGACCTGTCCCCAAGCCACTCAGCAACACCAACCTCCATGTGACTTCCAAGCTGAGCTTGATGGTGCCAAGGTCATTGATGTCCACAGCCACAACTTGGGGCAGGGCAGCAAACAGGTCCTTGGTCTCACAGGAGACACTGCCTACAACCACGTGGTTGGCCAGACCCTTCAGTTCTGTTACCTGTAGCCAAGAATGCATCATGAGGTCACAAGGGTATAGGGGTCATGAGGTTGTGAGAGTAGAGACGTCTGAATATGCATAGGGGTTATATGACAGTCAAAGGGTCACGGGGCCATGAGAAGGTTGCAGGGATTGGAATTTTCTGAGTGACGGGGCCATAGAAGATTAAAGCAGCCTAGGAGCATGGGGATCACAGAGGACCGAGTTTGGAGGGTGACTGAGGTCATGGGGGTCACAGCCTCATGGGGGTTCAGGGGGTCCAATATTCACAAGATTAAAAGAGAGAAAATCACGGAGTCATGAAGGTCATGGGGGTCACATATTCACAGATGAGTCACAGGATCATGTTGCCCTGTGGTCCTGGGCAGATACATCACCTTGATGGACAGGAATTCCGTGAGCAGAGGAAGAAAGACGGTTTCCTCACTGTCCCACACCTGCTTTCCGCTACCCTCAATTCGGCCCCGTAGTTTCCAGCGCTGCCGCCCATATTTCATGCAGATCTAGGTGAACAGGCAGGATGACGCAGCCCTGGGTGTTGCGACCCTCCCATCCCAACCCTTCACTGCACATTCTCATACCTCATACTGATCGCCCACACACAGCCTGGCGAAGCCAGCCAGCCCTGGGAATTGAGGGAGAAGGAGATGAGCCATGTTGAGGGGTCCCAGGCACACAATTCCCTCTCCCCACCACCAGTCTGCTCCCATCACTTAGTACCTTTCATCCGGAGATGGAACTCGCCCAGCTGTGCCTCTAGCTCACTCTCCAGCAGACACATGCTCTGAGAGGGGTGGTCAAGGACAAGAGGGGGTCAAGAACCAGGCCCCCCTCACCAGCTCTGCTATACCCTGTGCCTCTGCCTCATGGACAGCCATCTCTCACCTCTGTGTACTCGCGATGCCCTCGAGTGGCTTCAGCCAGGCTGTCCCGGGCCTCGCGGCTCCCCGGAGACCCAGTGCTGTAGGCACGGACCATGTTGTAGGCACCATCCCGGAGACGTCGCTGGACACAGTATGCCTCATACAGCTCGTCAATCTGGGCAGATGAGTGGGGTGGTATTGGAGGAACTGAGACTCACTCTTGGGCTTGCTCCCCCAGGGCCTAGCACTGCCCCCACCCCAAACTCCCTGTGACACCGGTCTACTGCCCCACTTGTGTGCAACACGTGTGCTGCACACGTACCTTGCTGGCATGGAACTCCAACCGTCGCAGGAAGCGTTCAATGGACTTGACTTGCTGAGGGAGAGGTATGTCAGGAGGGGCCAGAGGACCAGAGCCCTTTACCCTCCCCATGAGCTAACCTCTTCCAACACCATTCTCTACACACTCACCTTGTCCAAGTCATACAGGAAACCCTACAGGGGAGGATGAGAGGAGGCACTTAGGAGGCATGGGAAGTATTCCAGCAGGGGCACCTGTCTACCCAGACCCAGCTAACTCCTCTCCTGCACAGCCTTCCTCCCCCTCATACCATAGTCCACAGCCACTCCACTCAACTCATGGACTGACCCACCTTCCCACATGCCTGGTCTTTGGTGGATGTTAGTGACATAGGGTCTGGTCCTCAAGACCCCTCCTGTACCCTTCCCCTGACCTCTTCCCCTGGGATCCCTCCTCTGGCCCACTCCCTTTCCCACAACCCTTAGGAAGAGGTTCTCTCTACCAGGGAACTCTTATTCTTCAAGACCCAGCAGAGGTGTTTTTCCTCCTCTAGGAAGTCCTGCCCTGTTCCTGGGGAAGAACCAGGACTCTCTATCAGTACTACTACAATATAGTCTCCTGCTGTCCATGTCTGTGGGAGTCTGACCCACCCCACTGAAAGCTCCCATGGACAGATACTGGGTCCTAGGCAGAAAGTGTACACAGCCTGGGGAAGGTGGGGCTAGAAACCTGCCCAGCCCCAGCTTTCCGCGATATCGTGTTTTCTAGTCACAGCTGGGCTAAGTCACCCTAGAAAACAGCCCTGATGTCACCCATGGCTGGTGCTACCCAGTCCCTCATATCACAAGGGCAAAGAGCAGTAATCCAGGGTATCTTTGTCAACCCTTTACTCACCAGGCGGGAATTCCTCTTGGACTCCCTAATCTGTCCCTGGAGTTTCTCCTGCTCCTGCTGGTGCACTTCCAAATAGGCCCTGGGGAAAGGGGCAACGACAAGAATTAGCTTACCTTTGCAGCCTCCAGCTGCCCAGGGTACAGGCAGTGGGAAGAAGATAGGAGGCTGGGGAAGTTTCCTACTAGCAGAAAGGGGATGAGGGCTTAGGGAGGGGTCCTGGGATAAGGCATTGGGAGGAGTTCCTTACGTCAGGCCCTGCTTGAGCGCAGTGTACACCAGGTCCAGCCGCTCCGGCTGCGGGACCTTAGGGGCTGGGTGCGCCACGGAAAACATCCTGGAGACTCGGGAGAGCGCTGGGGGTTTCCGCGGGGGCCCTGGGGGACTGAAGGCCGGGAAGCTCCTGAAGAAGAGGCTACACTCAGAAAGGTACAAGAAGGAGTCCCCAAACCCTCACTGCACACCCAGCTCCAACCCCGTCACACTCTTTGACCCCATTAGCTCCCCTCAGCTGCGTACCTGGGCCCCCGCTCGTGGCTGCCGAGGACGCCTGCGAAGGACTGGCTCCTACTGACCCGGGCGCTGAGCAGGCGGCGCTGCGGCCGCACCGACAGGGACATCATGGAATGAGTCCGCGCGGGGCTCCCTGGGGGGTGGCGAGGGCGGGTGTCCAGCGCCAGTCAGGCTTTTGAAGCCCCCTCCGGAGGCCCGGCCTCTGTATCTTAGTCCTGCCGGACACCGCCTGACGCCGGGAATCCGACAACCCCGCCGGCCCCGGGGCTAATGACAGGGCGGCCGGGCGACTCGGCCTCGGACTCAGCTTGGCCTCGGCTCGGCCCCCACTTCCTGCAGAGGTGCAGGCTCCGCCTGTCGCGGGGCAGGAAGGGGGGTCGCGCGGGGACCCTCCCCCGGCTGGGAAGGGGCAGGAAAGGGGCGGGGCGCATGAAGAATGTGCGGAAGCGCCTGTTTACCCGGGGGCGGGGCGGGCTCCCCAGCCCTGCCCCTGCACTCACCCCCCAACCCTCGCAACAGTGACCAGGAGCTCCCGCGCCCCCACCCCGCGAGGCCGCGGAGGTCACCGGGCGGGGTGCACGCTCTGAGCCCAGCGGAGCTGCCCGACAGGCCCGGCAGGCGCGGGGTTGGCTCTCGCGACCCGGCCGCCCCGTGGACACTGCTCCCCTCCAGCCCCCGCCGGCTCGCAGGCGCCGGGACGCCGGAGCCCTCCCAGCGTCCAGCAGCCGGGGGATTCCCAGAGTGGGGGGCAGTGCCAAGAAGTGCCCTTCCTCCGCCACTTTCCTGTGGCTCCGACCTGGAAACTGAGTCACAGATGCACGCCTTCGCCCGCGCCCTTAGCGGGAAGGGATCCTCCGCAGACCCCCACCCTGCTCCGACGAAACACGTGCCCCTGGCCCCCAGAGTCCGGCCCACACCCCCTGGGGCCAGCCCCAGGGCCTTTGCAGCCCCAGGCCGGGTCCTACCTCTCTTCTTGGCACTCATGGTAGGTCCAGGACAGCTCCCCACCCCCTGCGCTTGCCCTCCCGCCCCTGTGTCCCCACAGGCCCAGGGCCACTAGGTGCTGGCCGAGCTGGGCTCCGCGCTCGCTCCCAGCGACTCCGGCTCCGGCTTCAGCTCCTCCCGGCGCCGCCCCCCGCCCAGTTCCTGCCGCCTGACTCAGCCCGCCGGGATGGGGCGGGACCGGCTGGACCGGGGGGCGGGGGGGGGAAGGGGGGCACCGGGCCCGGGGACTGGCCGGCCTCTGGGAGAGGTGCCTGGGGGTTCCCTTGGGGGAGGAAACTGAAGTGGATCCTCTCGGGTGGGGTTAGGCGCTTGGGTAAAGGGAGTTGAGCGCGGCGGTGAATAAGGAGGGATAAACAGAATGAAGACCCTGAGTGGAGGCTGGATTGGATGCAGTTAGAATAAGGGTCTCATAGAGTGGCTGTAGAGGGGTTCTGAGAGAGGACTGAGCACACAGAGGGCTGGGAATTGGGGTTCTGAGTATGTAAAGACTGGAAGGGCTGTGGGTGCGGAGTGGAGGGTCTATGCCAATGGAGGGCAGAGTCGGGCACCAGCATGAGGGGTCTGGGAGGCTGAGAAGAGAGAGGGGCTAAAGTGTGGGACTGGACAAAGCTCATATTATGTGTTGCTGCCTCAAGAAGGAAGCAAAGAAGGGGCGCCTGGGTGGCTCAGTCGTTAAGCGTCTGCCTTCGGCTCAGGTCGTGATCCCAGGGTCCTGGGATCGAGCCCCGCATAGGACTCCCTGCTCCACGGGAAGTCTGCTTCTCCCTCTCCCACTCCCCCTGCTTGTGTTCCCTCTCTCGCTGTGTCTCTCTCTGTCAAATAAATAAATAAAATCTTTAAAAAAAAAAAAAAAGAAGGAAGCAAAGAAGGAACTGGGTACAGAGTCACACAGCCCCCATTCACAGAGGGGGTGCTCATTCTAGGCACACTCCCTGGCACCCCCAGACCCTAGGGAAGAGGATCAGGTCCCACTTCCCAGCCAGGGCCTCCTCTCTAGTAGAAGCTGCATCCTAGAATGAGGCCCCCTCCTTCTGGCCACCAGCTCACATGATTGAATCTCCCTGGTGTTGGCCCTTTCCCGCCGCCAGTATTTTTTCCTTGAATTTCCTTCATCCACCTTGAGCCTAAATAGAGGCTACCATGCCCAGGGACTAGTGGGCATTGGAAGGGCTGGGTGCTCCCTCATCCCATAAATACTCCTGCTCCCTGATGCTCAGTTCTGCTTACTTTCTCCCTGAGAGGCTGGGGGTGGGCCCAGGGATCAGCATTTCCAACAAGCCCACCACTCCCCTACAGATTCAGATGCAAGATGCCCAAGAAACCCCAGTTTGAGAAGTGCTTAACCTCCTCTCTCTCCTTGAAGACCTGGTGCTGTGCACCCTACACTAGCAACTAGGTATTCCTGTGCATTGCCTGCCCAACACTGGCCTTCCTGCTCCCTTCAGCCACCCTCCAAGGGAACACCCCTGGCTCTGGAATGCCCCTTTCCTAAATCGCAACCACAGTGACTCCAACCTTAAGTCTCTCTCCATCACCTCCACCTTCCCTGTCTTCTACCTGAGACCTCTTGAGCCCTCAGCTCATTTATTCACCTATTCACTGAGTGACAACTCCGTGCCAAGCATGTGTCAGTCACTGGAGATACAGCCCAGAATTTCACAGACACCATCCTGCACAGAGCTCACAATTGGTCCCAGCTTCCTTTCTCTCTGCCAGCTCCCTCCCACCTTCTCTTCCCTGCACATCCTTCTCCCCAGCCTAGATCCGCAGCCACCACTGCATCACTCACTGCTGCTAATATCCCGAGCACTCTGTGCTTCTCTCCTACCTGGCAGGAAGCACTGCTGGGCAACCCACCTCCCTGCCTTCTCTGTGCCTGCACCTGCTGGAACTGAGCTGGAACCACAGAGCGATTCTCTCAAGCTCACCCAGGCTCTCATTTCCCACCTGGGGAAACCCTCCTGTGTGGCCCTCCTCATCTTTCTTCCTTCTCACAGATGATGAGTGTTTCAGACTTTCTCCACAAGCCTCAAACAAGCTCAAGTCACTTCCACATAAAAAATGAAAACAACCCTGGCAACTACCAAAATGCCCATCTGTAGATAATGGAACCCTATACAGCAAAAAGAATGGACAATATATAACTGCACACAGCAATATGGATGAATCCTACAGACATAAAGAAGCAAGACCACAAGAGAGGACATGTGTACGGTTCCCTTGATATGAAAGTTCAAAAACAGGCAGAACACATCTATGGCGATAGAAGTCTGAATACTAGTTACCCTTTGGGAGTAGTTACTGGAAGGGGGCCCAAGGGGGCTTCCAGGGTGCTGGTAATGTTCTGTATTTCCTAATCTGGGTTCTATTTTCTGATCCTATGTGGGTGTGTTCCCTTGTGAAAAATGGGTTGAGATGTACACTTAGGACATGCACCCTCTCTGTAGGTATATTTTAATATAAAGTTGACTTTAATAACTCCAAAATGAAATGACCCTTCTGTGGACCCCACATGTCTTTCCAGCGACCCCACCCATGGTTCCATTTGGCCTTTTCAGAGTCAAATTTCTCGAAGAGATGTCTACCTCGATTTCCTCTCCATGACCAGCCAGTTCTCTTCCCACCCTGGTCCACCTTCCACACCCACCACTCCCCTGACTGGTCAGTGACTTCCCTGTTGCTGAATCCAGTGTCCAAGGCGTAGTCCTTATCATGCTTGATCTGAGTAAAGCTTTTCACTCTGTGGCTCTCTTCCTCTTCTTTGAGCCCTTGAATTTCAAGAGGCAATAACATGCTCCTGGTTTTCCACCTATCTCTCTCTGGCTGGACATTTTATTTTCCCACAGGAGATCTGTCTTTCTCATCATCCCAGAATGGGCCTCAGCCTCCTCACTCTTGGTCTGGGTACATCTCCCACACCTCAATGCCATCTAAATGTTGCCAACTTGCTTATCTCTTCCTTGCCCAAACGGCTCTTCTGAGCACCAGGCCTCTATAGCCAACTGCCTGCTTGTCACCTCCCTGGAAGTTGAGTGACAATGCAGAGTGGGCTACTGGGGATGTGCTGAGTTTGAGGTCCCCAAGCTGAATCCACCAATTTCCTTCTCAAACTTGACTCTCCCCAGTCAACCTCTCTGTGGCAGCCCCACCCCCTCTTTACCCAGTTGTTCAATACAGAAACTAGGAATCATCCTGGATGCCTCTGTCTCCGTTACCCCCACATCCACTCAGCCACCCACTCCTGCCATCTCTGGAATCTGCTCCCCTCACCTCCACTCCCATAGTTAGAATTCGAGTCCAAGCTGTCACCACCTCTCATCTAGAACCCTACTGCAGCTTCCTAATGGGCTCCCTGTCTCCACTGTAACCCACGATGATCCGTTCTTTTTTTTTTTTTCTTAAGGGTATCCAGCTTTATTTTACATGGTTGCCTACATTTTTTTTTTTTAGATTTTATTTATTTATTTGAGAGAGAGAGAGAGAAACAGCATGAGAGGGGATAGGGTCAGAGGGAGAAGCAGGCTCCCCGCCAAGCAGGGAGCCCGATGCGGGACTCGATCCCGGGACTCCAGGATCATGACCTGAGCCGAAGGCAGTCGCTTAACCAACTGAGCCACCCAGGCACCCTACATTTTTTTTTTTAAGTAAGCTCTGCACCCAACGTGGGACTTGAACTCAAGACCCCCAAGATCAAGAGTTGCATGCTCTACTAACTGAGCCGCCCCCTGCATTGTTTATTCAATAACAACATTGCTCTTCTTAAAATTCCAGTCCTCTCCCAATGCCAAAAACCGTGCTTTGACAAGTGCTTTCTATAGGCCAGGCCCTGCACTTAATCAACAAACATCATCTCATTTAATTCTGGTAACAACCCTAATAGGGGTAAATCTTATTAGCCCCATCTCGCAGATGAGAAACCTGAGGCTAACTGGCTGTGTGACCTCGGGCATGATGTTTCTTAGCCTTTTTGGGCTTCAGATACCCCTCTGTTAAATGAGCATAATAAGGGCGCCTGGGTGGCTCAGATGGTTAAGCGTCTGCCTTCGGCTCAGGTCATGATCCCAGGGTCCTGGGATCGAGTCCCGCATCGGGCTCCCTGCTGGGCGGGGAGCCTGCTTCTCCCTCTGCCTCTGCGTCTCTCTCTCTCTCTCTCTGACTCTCATGAATAAATAAATAAAATATTTTAAAAAAATGAGCATAATAACAACAATGGTCTCCCGGGGCTGTTGGGAGTTTGAAATGAGGTACTTCTCTCTCTAGGGAGTGTTTGGGGAAGGGAAAATTGTATGTGGGGTAAGGAAGTTGGGGTGGGCACACTACTACACTTTAAGCACACGACAAATATTAACTGCTATTATTAATAATCACTAATCTGCCCAAGATTACACAGCTGGTAAGTGGTAGGGCCAGGATTCAAATCCAGACAGTCGGACCCCAGGACTCTGAGTCTTTAACATCCCCCTCTCTGACTCTTGTGAAACATCCATGGGTGACTCCCTACCCCAGGGATAAAGTCTAGATTCTCTGACATGACCCCCAATACCCTTCAGGCTCTGTGCCTCCCCACATATACCTTCAACCAGTCCTCCACTCAGTATCCCCTGCTCCTCTCATGGTCTTTCTGTTCCAGCTACTGTGACCCTCTCGAAACCTGCAAGGCTCTTCAGCCTTTGAGCAGCAACCTCCATTGCTCCTGTACTCTCCTCCCATACTCTCAGCCTGAACAACTCCCTCTCTTTTTTCATGTCCTACCCTATGACTTCTTCTTCCAGGAAGCCTGCCCTGGGTTGGTTGGTTCCCCCTTTCAGGCGCCTCATAGCTTCCTTCCTTCCTTCTGATCCCTGAGACCACATAGCTCAGTTGTCAGTTCTCCTTTAGCATCTGTCTTCCAACCAGACTGTGAACTCTGGGATCAGGGGCCTGTTTGTGGGGTTCACTGCTGTGCCCTCTGGGCCCCACACCAGGGAGATGAGGGAGGGGGCTGAGTGAACCGGGCTGCCTGGACACAGAAAGAGCAGATCGTGGGCTGTTGAAGGGGTAGATTTCAAGTCTGTGCCCACCCCAACTCCCCTATCCTGCATACAATCTTCCTTTTCCCTGATATAATCAGCAAGTAGGGTTCTGCTCCCTGGGCATAAGGCAGGGTGGGGACCCTGGGATTCTGGAACCGAGTGGGTAGGCTAGAATCAGAGTAGGCTAACTGTCCCAACACTTTTCTTTCTCTGACTACGGCTCTGCTGCCACCAACTCCCTAGTCCCTGACAGGGACCAGGATGTTGGTCTGCACTCTTGCCAAATCTAACTCTTGGTCTGCACTCTCGCCAAATGACCATCATAATATCCACCCGAGTGACCATTTCAGCGGGTGGAAAGGCAGGATCTTCCCTGCTGCAGAGGAGAGAAAGAGCTGAACCCCTTTGAGCTAAGGGAGAGGGCTCGCCTTAACTGGCAGGGGCTGAATGATGGGAGCCAGGGGACTCTCCGGACTCATGCCAGCCCTGAAGTCTGTTCTGGACATGGGAAAGATCCCAGGTCCCAAAGGTTATGGGGCCTGCAGCACAGCCAGCTCCAGCTCCTGCATGGCCCCAGATTCCTCCACCCCCAATACCCTCTATGCCAAAAGTGGTGCACTTGTGTGGGACGGGAGGTTCCACCACCTTCACTGCCCGGCTCGGTGGTATGCCAGGCCAGGCCAGCAGCCTAGCCAGGAGTCCCCGGTCCAGTCCCGCCCAGGCGTGGGGCTGCCCCAGACTGAGGTAAGCAGACGCTAAAAATAACCGGGGCAAGGGGCGGCTGCAAGAATGGGGTCCCTAACCGAACCTGTCCGGGTCTCCATGGCGACTGCCCCCAACCCGGCTGCTGACGTCATGCCGCAGCTGCCTGAGCGGGAGGGAGGGGGGTGCGCGCGCGCGCAGCCTGGGACCCCCCACCCCGGAATGAGGCGGAGGCGGCCGGGTAGCTTCACTTCCTGCCGGCCCCCTCCCTGGTCAGCTGGTCACATTCCCCGGCTGGCGGCGCCCTGGAAGCCTGGTGGCCTCCCCTGGGCAGGGCCTGGCAGGGTCGGGAGTCCCCAGCCGTAGTGAAGGGCCAGGGTTGACTGAGCCTCGTCCTCCTCACCTGCCTTTCCACCCAGGGTGCACCCAGCCTGGCTCCCTGCGTGCGCCCCTCACCCCCACCCAAATCAGGCCTCTATCTCTGGCTGCTGCCCCACAGAACCCAGGAGGGGGAGGGGTTGTGGGAGTGGAAGCTGAGCCAGGGCTCCCTGTCCCCCTGGAGTATTTTGTACCTCATTCTTCGATTCTCATTCCCCACACCCTCTCCATGCCACAAAGGTGGTAGGGCCGTGGCAAAAATTCAGGTCTGGTTCTAGTTCCCACTTCTCCCTAAGCCAGATGTGTGACCTTGAGAATATTACTTAATCTCTCTGGGCCCGCTTCTGCATCTGTCAGATTGCTATAACCCTCCTCAGAGGGCTGTGCTGGTGTGAATGCTGCAGGCCCAGGGTGAGGTCCCACAGATGGTGGCCAGGGCACCTTTGTTATATTTGTTATATGAGACTGCACACAGTAGGTGCTCCCTGAGCTCGCCTGGACCCGAATTAGGATCAGTCCAGTAGAACTGGCTAGGAAGGCTCAGTTCTGGAGACTGGACTCAGACCTCAACAGGGAGAGGACAGAGGGTGCCCAGGGCAGACTTAGCCAGATCCCTAGACTTGGTGAGCAGCTTCTTCCCCAAAACAGTTCTGCAGGGTGCCCAAGCCTGGCTGCTTGCAGAGAGACCCCGCATCAGCCTCCCATTCCCAGGGACAGGGTCTGTTCCCCCGCCAGGCCAGGGAGATCATCTCCAGCCTCAGCCGTCTGGGCGAAGAGCCCGGCCACAGGCCAGGATCCGCCACCTCGGGCCGAGCCCCAAAGCCGCTTAGGCCGGCCGGTAGGACCAGGAAGATTAGCTCATCTCGGAGGCTGGCCTGCACCCTCACCGCCCCCTCCCCATTCCCAGCTCAGCCTCACCCGCGGAGAGGGCAGGGGGGGGCTCCCGGAGAGCGCCCCTGCCAGCGCCCAGGCTGGCGCCTTGGGCCCGCCGTCAGGCCCGGCCCACCCCAGAGCTCCGGGGCAAGGGCCGCCTGGGCCTTGCCTTGGGAGGGAAGAAGGCCCAGATGCGGCGGCTTTTGTGGGCGTCCTCCGCGCCCGGGGGGAGGGGAGGAACCACACCGCGCGGCTCGGGTCCCGGGGATGGGGCGATGTGGGACAGGGCCGCAGCCGGGGCAGCAGATCCGGGACCGATGGGGAGGCACCCGGAGCGCCGCGCCCATCCCCGGCACGGCCCGCGGGCCCGGGAAACGGCGGTGACACTCACATGGCTGCGCTGGGCTGCGCAGACCTCGCGCTCTCCGTGCGCTCGTCCCTGCCCGGCCTGGTCGCGCCGCAGCTGCCGCTGTCGCCGCTGCCGGCGTCCGCCCCTCCTTCCGCCCGTCGCCTGCCGCCCAGCCACCCCGCTCCTCCCCAGCCCGCTGGGCCCCACCCACTGCGCTCCCGCGGCTCCCGCACCCGAGGAGGCGCCCACGGCTCGCTCCGCCCTCTCGGGTAACGGGGCAGGCCAGTGGCCCGCGGGGTCCACCAGCCTGCGGGGAGGCGGGGCCCTGGAGGACGCGAGGGTGGTGGGAGCTCTCCGCGCTCGGGATCCGCGGGAACTGGGCAGCTGCTAGCAAAGCCAGTCCCATTCCTTCCCACACAGATCCCAAAACAGGGTGCGCCGGAAAGCCCCGCTTGCCTGCCCCCTCCTCAGAATCTGTGGTCTCTAGAGATCTTTCAGGCCCTCCTATCTGTGACCGCCTGAAACAGGTCCTGGAGCGGCCACTGCTGGGTTGGGTTGGTTGGAGGAAAGGATCAGGGACAGTTTCCGGAAGGGGAACAAGGGGGCCTGAAGCCTAGCCACTGGACACCTGGCCGTGCATTCACCACTTATTGGTTATTGGCTTCTGGGGAGCCTCAGGCCTTGCTCACAGAGCTTGGCAGGGTTTGGGTACCTGGGCTTAGGGCACATGTTGGCCAAGGGGGCCAGAGCCCAGTCCTTCCCAATAAGGGGACTGGAACACTGCCTCTCCCCTTGAGTGGCTCGAGGTGGAACTGAGAGCTCTGAGCCTCACCCTTCAGGTTTCACTCTGTAGTCCTTCACCTTTGGAGGTAGCACAGACATACCCAGGAGCAGGCTGAGGGACCTTAAGAGGTTCTTGAATATCTGCACCCCCCAGGGTTGGTCTTCACAACCCAGAAGTTGTGGGGGGGGGGGCAGAGACCCTCAGGGGGCACTGATATCCTCTCCATCACCAGTTCTTCCAAGAGACACACCACCCTCTCCCAGTACTCTGGCCTCCCAGCCCCTCCTCTTTGCCTTCCTTTGCAGCATACCTTTCTCTATAGTCCTTGAACCTGGGGATTGCTTCCAGGGACAGGTTCTCTTTATTT